AATTGTTGATTCCAAATGTGGGTCAATGTCTAGTTTTGATAATTTTTTTCAGTTAGCTACTGTAATGTAATTCAAATAATAATTAATTTTTTGCCTTTTGTTGTATAGTCTGGAGCTTATTCAGTTCGTTACATTGTTGTGTTGCATTGTTTCAATATATATATATATATATATATATATATATATATATATATATATATATATATATATATATATATATATATTGTATGCTATAAAGATGTGATTCGAAGGAGATTCAACATTCTTGATTCACAATTGGTTTGTTAATGCATTTAATAAGAACTACATTATCCTACAAATGCAAGAATCTGAATCTGAATCATTCGAGTCACTTGCATCACTGCAGGAAAAACAAAAAGCTATATGTAAGAGCAATCCCAATAAACTGCAGAACTGTAGTATAAAATGCAAACTTCAGATAATGCCCAAAAGTAAACGGCTAACAAGAAACAAACTTGTACGTTCCATGGCAAAGGGGTAAATTAGTTACATCCTATCTTTTTGATGAACTAACTAGAGAAAAAACAAATGTTCACAAACTAGATCAAGTAGTGCCTGCAACTTCAATTGCCAGAACAAAGTACTTCTTCAGAGAATAAAAATGGGTTGTTCAGCTTCTTTTTCCAAACAAGATGCCAAACAATAAAACATAATTAGTTGACAACAAGATGCACTTGAACAATTTTAATTAACCCTCTATTTGTGCAAGCAACTGTGTTAATGAATTAGTGCGAGCTAACTTTTCCACATTTGTGATGCATCATGATTCAGCTACAACTAATATATAAAAAAAAATATGTTTGTGACATTTTTCGTGCCATTTTTCTGGTTAAAGGATAACGAACAATTCTGGCTTATACATTGAAATTTAAGAAGCTCATATACCTCAATCTAGCATCAATTGAAGATGAAACAATATATATCCCGGCTATTCCTTCATTGTCATCTGCAGTGAGTTAAAAGAATGGCAGGATTCAACTTTAAAATTGATAGTATCTGCAAATCACTGCACTAAAATTTACAGAACAAAATACTGCACTAAATTTACAGAACAAAACACTGCACTAAATTTACAGAACAAAACACTGCACTAAATTTTACAATTACAAGGATGAAACATATATACATGTTTCAATTATCAGAAAAACATTACAAAACTTAAAAGACCCAGCAAATGAGCAACATTTACGGCATAAAAACATTTACACAGCTTGCAGAAATACAACTGAACTTCTAGAGTTAGAATGTCTCATAGTTGATCTCAAAATCAAGCTTCAACGATCAGTGCCATAACAAACTAGAGTTATGTTGACAAAAAAAAAGTTTGGTCTTGCTTTGCTCAAAGTTCAAACAGGAACAGCAGAACTAAATCCTGAATAAAGAGGATGGAAATATAATTACACTCGACCCCAACTAGTACTTGACTTGATTGAACAAAATTCTAATCAACACAATTAAAACTAATACTTCCTAGAAAGCTCACTAATAACAGCTGCAACAACACATCTTTTTAACATAAACCAATACAATAAACAACAACAACAACAATAAAGCATGAAATTCACTGCAAATTAAAGCTAAATTACATAAGCTAAATAAAAAACACAACTTTACCACTGCCCCAAAAGCTAGGCATCAAATTAAACTAAATTAACAGGAGTTAAAGCAAATTACCACTCGCGAATGTAATCCACCACAGTCTTGGGCGGTTCACAGAATCATCCTTTGCCTTTTTTCTTTGTCAAAACAGAAACTTTTGTTTTGTTCTTTTGGTCGTGCTGATTAAGATAATGACTCCCTAATAGTAGGAACAACTTTTCAGTTATTCAACTAAAAAGAAACACTTATTCAAAGAATAATGTGAAGATTTTAACATACCAGTCCTACAAAGCTTAGGAATGATTGTACGCTTTTTCTTCACTGATGGTTCACCACATTGGTTTGCACCTTGATTCGCATCCTCCAACTCATCACCATCCACAAAGTTTGGGGCATTGTCAAAATGTTGAGGTTGATTACTACCAAATACATTTTCAAGTGATGAAAGACTTGGGTTCCTTGATATTTGTGGAGTCTGTGGTGTCGTGTACGTCACACTCTCAATGTTTGTTGGTTCATAATTCAAAACTGCTTGGGAATCTTGTGTGGTTTGATCATCTTCACTCATTTCAATAGGTGCTCGACCTCTCTCAATAGCACGTACCTTCCTACCCGCAACACCACCTTTTCCTCGCCAACGAATAGGAGGATGCAAATGGTCAGACATTAGCTCCTCTCTTCTATAATCTGCTTGAACATGAGTCCTATCTGCCTCTTGCACATATGCCAAACAATTAGATCCTTCATCCCGCACCATCGCATGAAACCCGTAAAATTCCTCCATTGATGGATTTTCACCGAGAGATATTGCTTTATTAACCATCAAATGAATATGACGCACCTGTCCAAAATAACAAAACTTGCCTCAAAATTCAAAATTAACCCATTCTAGCTATAGTTCGAAAGAAATCATTTATGCTCCAAAATTTATTAAGCTAATGTCAAACTTACCATTGTTTCGTATGTGGTCGCATTAGGCACATAACCTTGTTGTTGTTGAGGACTCGAAATAGGATTACCAATGATAAAACGAGTAATACGTCTAAACCAAATAAGGTAGGGATCATCATACCGAAGTGATCCATGAAGGATTGGTGCATTCCATACATATTGATCAATATGGTTCCAAAAATGCAACCATTGTGCATGCTCTAACTCCCAATTTGTGTTTGATCTTCCTCGACGATCATGGTTAAAATGTGTAGCGTCAAATGCAAATGAAGATGGTATCGCTTGTACCAATCCAAATTGCCTCGTAACTCGATCGGGTAAATGAACCTCAACAACATCCCAACAAAAAATTGGAACTCTAGCACGCCATATGTCTCTTCCAACACGACAATATTCGGGAAGACTCTCAATTATGTCAGAAGAATATGGTTCCCAAATAAACTATAAAAAAAGTACTCACAATTACAATATATACGAAAGTTAAGAGAAAATTAGTACAAAATCTTACCTGATCTTCTGTCATGGAATCCAGCGCATCCCTGAAAACTCTTAACACGTGTTTAGTAGTGTCGGTCCAACTAAAATGTGCGTACAATCTAGCAGCATGTGGACCCCTTTGTAAACCAACAGGGAAAATATTCCTTGTATCTCTTTTTTCTACAATCTGAGGTGTAAGGACGGTAACTCTCTCCCATGCCCAAATCTGGACATAATAGATAATTATAAACTAGATAAAATTTCAATAAATAAGTGTAATTATTGAGTATACCTGAAGTAGTGGTAGGAATCCAACAATCTCATTTTGGCTACTTTGGGAGGCTTTACAAAGAAAACGATACAAATATGCTAGGGTTGCACTACCCCAACTGTAAGACCCTACCATAGTTATATCCTCCAGCATAGGCAAGTACATAAGCTTTAAAAGACCACCAGATGTGTCTGCCAATAGTAAACCAGCAATTATCCAAAACATATAACACCTAGCTTTCTCATTGACCATATCCTGTGTTGCCAAGTCGGGTAATCGTGGTTGAAGTCGCAAGTGTGCATTAAGCGCAGAAACCTTGAGACTACTATGTTTAAAGTCTTGAGGTTGTGGACTAAAACCTAATAATATTTGACAAATATTTTGCCAATCCACTACAGACCTCTGTGGCTCATACCCAACTACCGCATTACCTTTCACGGGTAAGCCATACAATATCTCCACGTCCTGTAAAGTGATCGTACTCTCACCCGTCCTAAAGTGGAATGTATGAATCTCAGCCCGCCATCTCTCAACTAGTGCGGTGATTAAGCTACGATCAATAACAGGCCTATGAGACCTATAAACACCATATAATATAGATAGTTTAATCACATCTAGGACTCGTGGATGAATGAGATGTTCATTTACTAGGTCCCAAAACTTCCCATCACATTTTCTTGTGTTCAAAATCATATTATCATTCCCTATCCATATATCTCGTGACCTATGAGTGAGCTGTCTAGTTAATACAGACGTATCAAGTGGACCGGGATCCAATTGATATGCATTATTAGCAGCCATAAAATAAATACCTATACAGAAGTAAGAATACAACATAACTTAGAAGCTTTTCTCAATCTATGAGTGCAAGAGTTGTTAAATATATAGTGGTTGTAAATTATGTTTACATGACAGAAACAATCAAAAGCACAATAGTTTACTGCTTTCACTTACCAAAGATTTGGTAAGAGTGGCAGGGGTTAACCTACATCGACATTAAAATCTGAATTTTGACTAAAATAAGTTTCTATAAATCAATTCACCAAAGGAAAATAACAAATTCATCAACTATAAGATAAACTAAATCAATGTATGACAAAATTACCTGAATCACAAAAAGAACTCTTCTTTATCAAAGTTTTTTTTACCTTTTTAAAGCAGATCTGCTGCAGCCGTTTTCAAAGTTTTGAAAATTTCACCTCCACTCTTCAGATACAGCATTCATCAACTCCATTGTGCCTTTGGAGCGAGATTTGATGCTAGTTCTCCTCATCCCTTGTAACTTGAAGGTAGGTTTGGAGAATGAAGTGGGTTTTCTTGGAGGGTTTTCTTGAAGGGTTTTCTTCCCCTATTTGTCATTTTGGTCTCAGCCGAGTGCCGGCGAGTTTGGAAAAATATGGGTTGCAATCGAGTGCGATAATACAGAGAACAGAGAGAAAGAGGAGAAGGGGTTAATTCCTGTGTTACGCTTCAATGGAAAAAGGATCTTCTTCCCCAATTTTATATAACTAAATTGGAGGTTTTGGTTTCAATAAATTATATATGCTTAAAACGTTATTCCCAATAACGTATTAGAGTTAAAACGTAATTTCCAGTTACGTATTATTATTAAATTATATATGCTTAAAACGTTATTCCCATAACGTATTAGAGT